GATTGACATTAAATCGTTTCCGTTTTTACTCTCAATTTCAAATCAGCTACGTTCGGCGAAATACGCCAGTCTCAATCGAATGGCAATCTCTAGCGTCTGGTTATTTCAGTCAACATCGAAAGTATTTATTGCGCATGCTCTCCAAATAAGAATATGATGTCACCGTTTGACATAACTAGTGGAATATGTCTAGCCTCGTTCTTCGAGTCCCTTGTTACAAATGGCGCTGAAACGCATTATGGTACACGATTCTTGTACCATTAATGTTTATTTTGTCTTAAATATTGGATATCAGAGGCCCATCTTTTCCCCTTTAGACCACAACATCAATGTTGATTTAAATTGACAAATAATTCGTGTATTCAATGTCGAAGACTTTAGATGATATTGAGTTAGAGACTTTAATCTTTTAAATGACAAAGAAGCCAACATGACACAATAACCTTATAAAGTTATAGAAAGTGGGTTGGTCGTCAGGAAATCTGATAGAAAATGTAAATTCAATTAGCCTTCGTCTGTTCTAGTAAAAGGATAAGAAAACCGTCCAGGCCCGTAACACTGGGGGGGGGGGCACAAATATTGGAAATAAAATAAAATTGATATAAAATACATTCATTTATATGAAAAGTAATTTAAAATAATTGATATAAAAAGTTATCTAAAAAAATTGATATAAAAAGCTATTTAAAAATTGATATAAAAAGGTATTTAAAAAATTGATTTAAAAAAGTTATCTAAAACATTGATATAATTATAAAATGTTTTAAAAAAATTAATATAAAAACTTATTAACAACACTGATATAGATTTATAAAGTTATTTAAAACATTGATATAAAAGTTCTTTCTTAACAACATTGATATAGATTTCAAAGGTTATTTAAAAATTGATATAAAAAATTATTAACAACATTGATACAGATTTAAAAAGGTATTTAAAAATGTGATATAGATATGAAAAATTATTTTAAAAAATGTAAAAATAAGTGTAAGTTTTATTAATGTATGATCAATGAAATTTTCACAAAATATGATGGCTTTGTATATTCTTGAATCAGAAGTGGTATAAAGTATTTAATGACAGACTTTATGATCGTCCACCCAACCAACTAAAGAGAAACCACGCCACGATGACTCACTCTGTTTAAACATATTTTATTGACAAATATCAAAAGGATTGAGCACAAGTTCCAAAAACTTAGAAAAGCCCTTTCCATACATAGAAATGATAGACATTATTTAATACAAACAAGATTGCGAAATAGTATATACAATAATAAATAATTTATAAGTAATATAAGTAAAGTCAGATGAATTATATCGTAAAGCTCTATATAAAATAAGTGAAGAGGTGATAAAGAGAATATAAAACATTGAAAAATAAAGTTTAATAAATGGGATATAAATGAACTGATGCATGTATAAAATGACAAAAAAAATGGGGGGTGCGGGGAAAAAAATAAGCCTCAGTAACCAGGGAACGTTCTTGAAGATTGTATTGGCTGGTTACTGGTCCAGTATAGATGGTTTGGCAAGAAAAGGCACCAAATCGTTCGAATGGGACGGCGAAATGAGGTAAATCCGCTTACCTTTGGCATGCACATCCATGAAGCCTGGAGTTGAACTTCGGTGAAATAGGTGGACACGCTGCTGTCTAAGCAATGGTTCCCTCATAACACACTGCATGGGATGTGTGACCGTGTGACGTGATAGAATTAAAGCTAAATGTCAAAAGTAGTTTAACATAGTTACATATCTTCCATAGATTTGCATGTAATGACCACTAAAATTATCATGAACAAACACACTGGCTGAGATGTAAATTTTCTATCTGACTATTTGTTCCCCCGGACTGCCGTCAATTTTGTTAAAGATGGCGTGAACAATTTAAAATCTACATAAATAAATTAAACTGAGTTGATCAGATGTGGTATTGGTCTCATATTGGCGTTCTATCTCGTATTTATTCAGTGCGATTCTGTTTATTATCTACAATAAATTATAAAATATATTATAGAGTTCAACTTTCTAATTATAGGATATATAGAGGTCAATTATTTACATCTACGGACCACATTTTGGTGCTCTATCTTGGATTTATCCAGTAGGATTCAGGTGTTTATCACAATGTTTTTAATGCAACGACTGTATCACACCAACTTGTAATAGAGACTCAACTTGCTTCAACTCTATCAGAGATTCTTCCTCCAGATATTGTACTGTTATCATGATATTAAGTCTTGGCGTCTATTCGTTAAATATTACTTAATTTGAATAAATTAATGAATACATTCTATAAATAGAAGATTAATTCTCACCTTAAAATATACGAGTATCTATTTCAGCAGGTATATACAGATCATTCTCAAGTATTTCTAAAACAAAAACAATACAAAACATATTTAATACAGACAGCTGTGACAGTATACTTAGTTATTACTTGTAAAATAAAATAAGTCCACGGAAGGTTGATGGAAGACCTAAAATTATTAGGTAAGGGCCGGACGTTCCAGAAACCAACATGTCTTACGTCAACCGTAGTCAGCTATGTATTATTGGCCGTTAGTTAAATGTTACGTAACATATATTCTGGGCTATACATACCGAAATGTGTGTGTGTGTGTGGGGGGGGGGGGGGTATGGTGGCAAGACGTGGGAATTGAGTGGGGATGCATGAGAGGCAATTGTAGGAATCTGGGAATATGGTTTGGAAGACCTGGGATGAAATTGTCTCCAAAGTTAGTGGTAGTGTATTGGCGAGATGTGGGAATATGATGAAGAAACGTCGAAATCTTAGACTATGATGGGGAGACGGGCGAGAAAATTACCGGAATCAGAGAATATGAGGACCATGGTACGTGGCAAGGGTGCCGTCGCTTGTCTAACCTCTATGGGGTTTCTGGGTTCCTTCCACTACTAAATAATCTGATGTAACCGAATTAATAGGCCCTATGTTAGACCTCCCACCACCAACTGCATCTCCACCCCCCCCCCCCATGTCTATCTGATGAGCAAACATGGATATGCAAGTCTCATCTGCTCTAGGTTGTTATTCTTTTAATCTTCTAAATTACTTTGTAAATGACATTTGTTAAATCTAAATAATTGAATATACATGTAGCTAATACGGAATATCAAACATAAAGAAGGCAAATTTACCCATTTCACCATCCTGTAGTCCGGTTCTACTTGGATTCGTTTCATCTTCAGCGCTGATATATAGGTCGTTCTCCATTATTTCTAGTCAATAAACAGATAAACATGTAATTAATAGTCTTAAAACTGTATTTGATACAGTATATAACTCTATAAGAATAATATCTCTTTGAAAGGTCACAGAGAACGCGCGTACGCAGGAACCGATTGGGACGTCACGGCAGCCATCTTGGTGTTGTGACATCATATCAAAAATCAATATCCACCAATCAAGGCACAATAAAATTGTCGAAAGAACTAACATGCCAAGTTCCATGTAGACCGTACTTAAATTGGTGGAGTTTTAGTCTTTTCGACGAGCGTCTCCCTCTTAGAACAACGACAAGAGTAATAAAATGGCGGCCATTTCCAGGTGCAAAAATGTTCTTAGTATGTATTTGTTACAGCTCGAACTATAACTATAATCTGTTTGAGAGGAATACTCACTATGGGGTCAGTATGTCTGATTTGTATTAAATATTTTAAGATGAAACCCTCTAATGTATCTTTACTGAATATTATTGAGTATGTTTTAGAATATATTATAACATACCCATTTGATTATTATCTCTGTGATCAACTTTATCTGGTGTAGGATCATCATCAGCACTAATATACAGTTCATTCTCTAGTATTTCTGATAAATAAACAACAAAATATAGATCATTATATCATAGAAATAAACAACATCAACAGCAACAAAATATTTAGATCAATATTTCTGAAATCATTTTTTTCTGATAACTAGTCATTATTTCTGATAAATCATTATTTCTGATATATCATTATTCCTGATAACTAAATAAAATATATATCATTATTTCTCATAAATTGTTTGTTTATTATCTTACATAAGTAGATTAAATGCTGTATTTTTGAGTGGCAAATCGGTTTGATCAAAGAAATGATTTGAATTCCAATTTTTTTCCAATTTGTTTTGAATATTCATAATTTTGAGGCGTAAGTCAGTCATTACACCGTTTTAAAAAAAAATACCATATATAGTGGATCTCGCCCTGTCTTTGATAATTTGATAATCTGGTTAAATTTAGCCCTTAGTCACAGAGCAAATATATTGGGAGCCGAAATCTGCCTAGATATGTTAGCGGCTATTCTGCAAGCAATGGTGTCATAGTTCGAGGTCACAGTTTGGGCTAATTACTGACCGATTGAATCGTTGTGTTTTCAGACGTATGATTAGTGTCAGTTGTGTGGCCGTTAAGCTACACGTCAATTTACAATCATATGTGCGAGTTCTTCCACACTGGGATATGGTGCATGCGCTTGACAGTGCGCATAGTAACAAATGGACAGTTTCTTTGAAAAAGATCTTCATCAGAGAATTGTCACATTATAGGTTCTTTTTGGATATATATTATGTAATTAAAACATAAATAACGTTGAAGCCAAGGTTTTCTAAGACAAGAAGTCCGCTACACTGGTAAGCTGATACCGTTGACTTATGAACCTAAGTCTTTTACTAATGCCGTCATTAATTCATAAAAGTGTATAAACTAATGTTTAAGTATGTAGAGAAAAAGGTTAGAAATTATACAGTAGTCATTAATTAACACGTGTGTAAGATGTCATTACTGGTGTAAACACAATAGTCACCGTTTAACACCTAATGACTACTGCCTAATTACTCACAATTTAACTGAGTAATAAACATTATGTATATAAAATGACGACTTTGATCCGTTTCTGTCGTATATTTTCATTTATAAAAGTTATTTGTTGCTAAGTCGACGACATCAACATCACAGTGTTATCTCCCTTAGAATATAACATAAATTCTTGTTTTACCCATAGTCTGATTGTCTCTAATCTGTTGCTGATTTTTCACCAAGTTATCATTACCATATAAAAACTGGTCATTTGTTGCTGAAAGATATAAGTCAACAATTATATTAAAATTCTCCAAATTAAATAAATATAAACCAATAAACTATAGACTAGATGGATGATGTGACATTTTCCCAACATTGATCGATTGTTTTACCCAAAATGCCTAGAATTACTAACAAAAAGTATTGACTAGAAACGATGTATTGACTAGAAACGATAAAAAAAAGCCCCCGTGTTTCATGATATAATAAACTTACGCTGGCCTGGACTTGTGTCATACGTAGGATTCCTGTACCGGAAGCTGTCTGGTTGATTTTGTCTGAAATAAAAGATAAAGCAGTGTATCTGATTAACCAGAATCAAAGTAGACCCAGTATGATTAGATGTCGTCAGATGAATGTATAGACCCAGTATGATTAGATGTCGTCAGATGAATGTATAGACCCAGTATGATTAGATGTCGTCAGATGAATGTATAGACCCAGTATTATTAGATGTCGTCAGATGAATGTATAGACCCAGTATGATTAGATGTCGTCAGATGAATGTATTGCCTATGGTATATGAAATGGGTCCTAATGGCCTATTGTTCTGCTCTGACTGATTTATGAAGACGGATATACGCCATACAGTGTGCTATAGGGGGGAAATTGGCCGGGACAGCGACGCTACGGTCTACTCTTATATCGAATTCCAAATACAAACGGATCTTTTATGTACATGCCAATGTGTATACGCAATTGCAGGGTTTTGCCCAATCCGAACGACTGTACGTTGGTGCTTTCCTGTACTTTCTGTTCTAACGTCTTACTCATTGAATAAATAGTGAATACACAGATAAGATATACAGACTGACCTGGCAGTTCCAGCACTTTCTGTAAAAAAAAGGTGACATTTTGATATCAAAAATCAACAATTGATGGAACGACATAACAAAAACATCTATGATATATTTTAAATTGACTGGACAACTACAGTGACTGGTTTCTATAGGTATTTATAGTTACATATGGACAGCAAGCATTAACCGTATATATTCAGAAAGAATCATTTCCTGGTGGTGTATTAAAATCTATGAAGCAAGACTGGACCCAGGATTATTTGGTCACAATTTTAAAAGATATATGATTCAGTTTTCAAACAGTGTATAATATAGGGAAATGAAATGAAATCAAATGAAATGGGGTTTAACGTCCTACTGTTCTGCTCCTAACCTGGGCTAATGAAGACGGAATATAATATAGGGTATGTTAGTGTTGATATCTATGTGAAAATTCTCAAACAGTACACTCCAAGAAATGTATATATGTTTTGTAACTCACTACCTACACATGTGTCCAACACTGTTTATTGTAAACATAAGATTAAACTATTTTATATGTTTGGAGAGAACTTATATAGGCATTTGCCTGTTGTTCAATCCATTTCAGTTTATTGAATAAAATATTGTTTAAACTAAAATTCTCAAAAATCTCCGGACCTCTGTAGGTTCTGCAAACCTTGAGAAAAAAATATATCTGCCTGCCTCTCCACATCAAAAAGGATTGAGAAAGATTGAGACATTTGCTGTAGTAGATAGATAATAGAGTAAATCTAAACTTACTGTTTTTATTGTTAGATCTTCGTCTAACCAAGACTATTATCAAAACAATTAAACCTATCAGAACAACAGCACCAACTACTCCTCCTGCTATCATGGGAACGTTGACTGGCAACTCTTCATTTGATGATACTAGACTATTACCACTCACTGTAACATGTGCATTTACAAACTGTTAGTTTTCTTAATTTCAAATACAACATTCCTGTAGCTGGAATCAATTATTGTCTATTATTACTAGAATACCTTGTATGGATACAATCCCTGCATATATTAGTTTATGACACTGCAACGTTTCACAACAGAGGAATACACATAGTGATTATGAGGACTATGAAAGTATTGATACAGTTGTAGTTATAGTTAGTGACACTGTAATGATATAAACGATCGGACGAATATCAGCAGTGTAACAGATAAGATTGAAGAAAAGTACAACTTCAACAGTAACTATACTTCAAATTTGAGTTCGTAGCGGAACGTACGCGACACAATTACAATGAAATACTGAATCATCGATATGAAATTGTCCTGATAATCAGACTAAAACATTTAATTTCATTCAATTTACGTGATGTGGGTTATAGGATTTGTAGCAACGACGATAATGATATAGAAGCAAAAGAAAAATACAAATCCCCGTTACACACAATTGTACAGTTAAATAAAACTGCTGCATCGTAAAGCTGTTATTATGCTTTTATCTTTTGTATTTTCATCGTAATTGAATTCCTATAACGGTTAGTTAGCTTGAACAAATTTGGATATTTTGATAGTAAATCAGATATCGTTATTAAAATGTGTGAACAGCAAAAATACCTTTTCCAGGATCGGGCGTTCCTGTTGGTAAAGCTATTTTTGGTGAGACTGTTATGTGTTGGTAAAAATCAGTACAACCATACTCATTACATACAGTTACAGTAACATTTAGATCCACCATCTCACTAATTGTTACTCTGCCGGATATAATTGTAACGTGTTTCGTTATTACAGTACCATATATATTTACTGGTCTGATGGCATGTTCAGATGTTGTATCAACTAATATTTCAGTTATAGTAGAACTGTTTTGTTGTTGTTGATACCACGTGATGTTAAGAACATCTCCGCCAATTATAAAGGTCGTATTAATTTCAACACCTGATCCAGGCTGTGCTTCAGAAGCATTGGAAACGTCTAGTATCATCGGTGGTCCTGAAAAAGAAAAACAGATTATTTTTTCTCGAAGGTATCGTATTTATTATCCGGCACTTAGTTCCAAATTAGTTTAAAATTGCCTCAATACTTAACAGTAAAAACATAATTATTTCTATGTCTTTTGCTCAATAGGTTATCAACTCACTATTATACGATCATAGGTGTCATTCTCACACTTAAAACTCATTTACACAGGAAATAACAACACAATTACCTCCCTTGTTTTGCTATTGATAACAATGGTCAGCCATTTCCTCAACGTTGAAATTTGAAGTTGAAAATTATATTTTTGCCAATTTCTCAGCTGGCAATAGTGAATTATAGGATTAATAGGATTATTCTTTAACAAGGTAGGACTGTTTATAGATACCATCTATTTTAAGGCTTTATTTTAATAAATTTTAAAAATATAACTTAAAAATTTGAAATTTCCGCTTTAAAATCGTTCTGTTTGTTAATGACTAGAAACTTAATATCAAATAAAACCTACCTTCTATGTTGATGTATGTTTTATCTGTTTGGTGAACTGTCCCTTTAAAATCTTTAATACCATTGCTAGCATTACAGACATAAGTTCCTTCATTTAATATGGTGTTATTTAAAACAAGAGCTGCTCTATCTTCGGTTACAACCCCCTCTAGTTCTCTCACAAACTGGCCATCAATGTAATGTGTCCAGTTATTCATGGTAAAATTAGTAGGGTAGCCGTCCACGACTTGACAAATAAGTTCAATGGATTCTGATGTATAGTTCACAGTTATATTCAAACTAAGGGGATCTGAAAACAATTAATAGGAAAAAACTGTTCTGTGTATGATAACAACACCAGGAAGTTAATACCATATGTAGTAAAATATGTTTTGTAATTAAAATAGCTAAAGGTCATTTCGGGACTAAAGTATGCTTCAATTTTGTTTTCAATAATTTGTTTGCTCGTATGTGTCTTAAGCAGTGATAGGAAACCGGCGGACCCGGTGAAAACGCACGTAGTTCTACAGGCGACCCTTATCACGTCCATTCGAAACCACCTGGGAATCGAAACCATGCCACTTGACCCAGCAACAGACCTTATGATGCGCACGTGTTGATGCACGCTTTACACGGAAACACCGCACACTACCTAAAATATTAGAAGCAGTACCGCGGTTTTTTACGCGTAAGCATGCTTTGACACGCTCACAACACTAACTACAATTCAACACGGTCTACTTACATTGTACTCGAATGTAGACAACACCATTCTTATCACAATCTGGCCCGCTTGATCCAGTACACACATACATACCAGCATCTCTTCTTGTTATATTTGGCTTAGAGTATATCGACTGGTTATGAATCTCAATGGTTTGAGTATTGTCTCCAAACATTTTCCATTTGTAGGATATGTTAGTAGTCTGGTTCCTAGAAATGGTAGAACAATTTAAGTTAAGATCATCTCCTTCAATCAACACCAGTTTATTAGAAACATCATCATTATCATGGCCAGCATCACCACTACCATCACCATTATCCTCCTCATCAGCACCATCTTCTTTATTATCACCCGTGTTTTTCATGGTATGTGTAATGATTGTTGTCAGATTACACGATAATGGAACTTGAAAATAAAACAATCACACATATTGAAAACGATATTACAGATTAGGATGATAAGTAACATGCATGATAATTATAATTAATTTGAAAGCTTGCAGTATTCGTTGTAACTATTTATGTATTATTGGTATAGATATTTATTATTATTCAATATCTATTTATTATTGATATAAATACTTATTATTTACTATTTATTTATTATTGATATAAATACTTATTATTTACTATTTATTTATTATTGATAGAAATACTTATTATTTACTATTTATTTATTATTGATATAAATACTTATTATTTACTATTTATTTATTATTGATATAAATACTTATTATTTACTATTTATTTATTATTGATATAAATACTGATTAATACATAACATTACAAAATCAAAAACATTTTAATGGATAAATAACAAGTAAAAATTAAATCTTTTTATAAATTTATTTTGACCAGCTTTAATTGCGGTGATTATATTCAGAAACTTTTGATCATAATTTTTTAACTTAGACATAACTTAAAATACGGACCATGACGACAGCGTATATTCACATAATATATCAGTGTTCTACACGTTTTATGTATCTGGCGAAATAGGAAGATACCTCAACTAATTATACGCTTAGTCACAGATGTCAAGGTTACCCGCATTCGGATACAAGATATGTGGATATTATGATATTCAATAAGCTATCAGAACAAGCGAAATATTTTTATTCTTGGAATAACGGGCACCAAACAGATTACTATATACATAAGGTTTTAAGATATTTTGCTGCATAGCATTGTAGAACCAACCTGTTTTTACAAATATGGTGTAGTTGTTACTGCGTTTCTCATCAATACCTCTACAAGACCAGTGAGTGTTGTTATCTCTGGTGATGTTAATGTTGTTGATGATCAGAGTTATTGATGTTAAGGATGATTCGCAACCATATACGTCATTGTCGTTATCAACAGTACACCGGAAAATACCTGCATCTACCGTTACTTTATAATTAAAATTTCTATTAAATTTGGCTTTTCCCCATAATCCCCATAATCGCCAAAATCTCCTAACTGTTGTGTCTGAACACCGTAATCGATAAACATCTCCATGATTAGCCATGTTGGGAATTCCTTTTATCATCAGCTGGCTTGAAACTGTAATAAAGTAAAGTCAAACACTATATATGCCTGTTGCCCGGCAAATTTTATAAGGAAAATATAACATTTATAAATTTGTAAAATCATATTTATTAAATTTTTGACGCTTAGTTTTTTCAGGGTTTAAGATCTTCGTCTCTTGAGCTGGTGTGGGTTCAGAAGATGGTACACCATGGTCCCTCCAGTATACACCCATTATAAGCTTCTCTCGCTTCTGGGTCACATGTTGTTGACTGTCAGGTACCACATGGAAATTAGTAAAGACATACCTTGGTGTTTACAATAAACCTGCTATCAATAATATTTAAGCAATCCTTTTCTCCCTCGATATAAGCATGATATCTTATTTCCCCTGTCCCACTTCATTTGAACACAGGTCTAATTTGCTTAAGGCCCTATATTTTGGTCCCGAAAATTATATTTACTCACGACAAAAATGTCTGAATTAGTACAAGGTAAACTCCTAAAGTGAACTTATAGGGTGTGATGGCTGTTTTGACCATGTTGTCATTATGGTACCATACAGCGGTTGGTCGTATGTCATGGAATTATGATTCACCTGCATGGATACATAAATTTGGATTTTTATGCATAAATATATAAACACAGATATGTATGAAACACACCTGAACAAAATTCATATTAACTAGAGTAGTATTTAAGCGAGGCGATTAATCGGTTGACTACATCTTATAGTATAAGATTACAACATTTTATATATAGTTGAATAACTTTTCACAAAGGCTTGGTGTACTATATCGATACAAAGAGTCCCTATCTGTGATTAGAGCACGGTGACTATTTTTCTTTTCTGTATAATGACTAACATCATGAAAGGAAATTGGATTACACGTCCTACTTTCTGCCAATACGCATGCAGCTAATAAAGACGGAAATAAAGAGGGAACTCTTGCCCGGACAGCGGCAAAGGTTCTTTTACGTGCACGCTCATGTATACACAAAACATCGGGAGTGCGTCCTATGCCATCGACTAATAGCTGTCCCTGGCTGTCTTTCCGTTCCACACCACTGACAAGGGAAAACCATGCCGGAAATCAGGAGTGATTCACGTCAGCGAGCCACTACGACTTCATAGTGAGTAACAAAACACTTGTACGGTATGAATATATGTACTAAAAATTATGAATCAATAATTTAAATATCTTACCGCCCTGTCTTAAGATCAGTACAAACAGAAATGTTTTTATAATATCACAGATCATTGTAATTATTTACTGATCAATAGATCTACACCTTGTTTTAAACACCAGATATTAATCCCCCGCCGTATAAGTTAAACGACAGCGGACTATATTATGTCAATATGGTGAAATCCTCTCATCCGTGTTAGTGATATTACTTCCTGGTCCAAGGTTCGATTAACTTGATGATATCTCTGGATTTTATCACACCCACCTTTCAGTTGAAAGAGTTGGGGCCTGTCAGGTTTTGGTATACAACGCAATCTGTGGTCATCTCTTGTGCAAACTGGCGTGCATCTAAACGAACTTTTCATCGTTTTACATCGACAAATTCCTCTCCCATTTAGAGATTCCCAACTATGCAGATTTTCAAACAAAACCCCTACATAGTTACACCACTGGGTCCAATAGTTGACGTTTCCCCTAACATTCACAATGTACAGTAATTGTGCTAGGATCCCTCAAGTCCTCAATAATTGATCCAGTTACAATGTACGTGTTGAACTTCCTTTTAAGTTCTTGAGCTTGTCCCATCACTAAGGGGAATAAGACACAAGATCAACCTAATTCAGTACTTTATGTAACCATTATATGGGTCCTTTAATTTGTTGTGTGGTAGGGGTCAGGGGGCAGATTTAAAAGGTCCGTCAATGCCTCCAAACCTATTAAAGAGTAGACTTGCTATCCTAATCTAGTATTGTTTTGCTGGGTTCTCTGGTTTCCTTTCATTGCTAAAGACTCGCGTCAGCATAGTGTTAGTCAGCCAATTACCTAATTTGTGATGTGTCGACTTTAAACACTATCTGCTACTATGTAATACAATAACTAAACCGTCACTATACATGTATATTATAATAATTGAATAGATCGTCAATGAAAACAGCTAGAAACGTAATATACTATAATACATATACATGTTGACCTCAATATCTCATTGTAGCATCCATTGTAATATAAAGTTGTATGTATTCATTCAGGCGACACAATAACACCTTTTAAAATACAAAATAATTAACATAATATATCGCACACTTATAAAAACCAACACACCTATTAGTACAAAGTGGTATTAGAACCAATTCAACGGTGCTGACCAGCAACACTGGTGGAAAAGATTACTGTAGGCACGCGTACATAAGTTCGAAAAAGCTGCTTTTATCACCACGCAATCAAAACGGACCTTGTAATTATTTTTTTTCTGATTTTTCAAATTTGTTATTAGGTGGGGTTGCGACTCATTTATTATGTTTTATTTAACTCTGGTTAAAAGTTCCTACACTTGCCCAGGACATGTCTAATTTGATATTTGTTTTAACTCCTCATACTTGCCCTGTAACTAACTTGGTAGCTGTTCATTGGTGTCTTTGGATATAACCTATGATTGGATACCATTAAACTCTGTAAGATTCTGTAGTCAGTGTGAAAGCGCGGTTACTTCCATAAATCTCATAGGATCGGGGGTGCACATGGTAAATATTAGTTCTTTTTCTCCACTGATTTGTGAACCTCACAAGACAAAGAATAGATTTAATGAACACTTTGTTAACTATGGATATAACTATTACGTATGTAATGTAGCTTGCACTTCTAAAACTATTGTATTTTCGCCTTTGCTTCCTCTTCAAGTTGTGTATTTGCTTCTTACTATCCCATTAGTTAAGACGTTTGTTTTACCAGTAGTTATGACATTTGTCTTTACAGGAATAACAATGCAACAGTACATTTTTACATTTTATATATCAATGCTGGATATATATATATCTATATATATATATATAATAGTACAATAAAGTCATTCTCTCTAAGCCGCTCCCATACAGACTCGGCAAGTTTGCTGACGGAAATTGCTACATTTTCTCCCTTTAAGAACTACCTGGCTGTCTGATGAATGCTCAGAGATATGATACTTTTGTGACTTTGGGTCAAATATGACGTTATTAATTATAGTGATTGGTTAATTAGCCTAATGACGCCGAAAACCACCTTTATATGGATAGTGGAAGCTCAACCTAGAATTGAATGTTTACTAAATTATAACTCTTTTTATGTATCAACTTATCAATCATTCACTCATTTTGATATAGATGCATATGATACAATATTAATGACTTTTATACAATGTGTGAATCTAATAATTAGTCAAAGATATCAATTAATACAATGCTGCTAATTTAAAAAGCAAAAATTCTAGCAATCGTGTTACAATAATTATAATATAAAATAATATGACACTTGTTTGTAATAATAATAATCTGCCCTAATTCTTTTTTTATCAACAAATGTAAATACATTTTGGCAATTCATTGATAACGAGTTTTTCCTGACTTTCCATCAAACATAATTTATAAGACCAGTGGAAGTTTATTTATACTTTGTAAAATGTTTTAGTAAAATGGTTTAACTATGCGACTGAATAACCTCGTTTGTCCTCTCCAGATCCCCCGGCTTTTCTCACGTGTCAGTCCATAAATTTCCTAATTTGTGCCCAAAACCCAATTTACCCAGTTTTGGCAATCCACAGAGTTTGTATAAAACACGTTAATGCTTGAATTAAATTCTTTAGATTGAAAAACAAACTCAGATGTGGGAAGATCTAAAGCACATTTGTATATAGTTTTTTTAATACGCTGCAGATATACAACTCATCTGTAAATACAAAGATTTCTTGTTTTTGTACAGGGCTTTATGATATATAGAAATAAAATCGGCGTAAATTTATACATGCTGTGTAAATTATTTCCAAATTCTAAGCACAGGACAGGACTTCAGGCTGTGGTAAACTCCCGCATCATTGGTTGGCTGAAGACCGTCGTAAGTCGGGTTGTTGCGAACTTCACCAAAGACAGGAGGGTCGTCACTTGAAGTATTAGCTACATCCGAGACAGGAGGGTCGTTACTTGAAGTATTAGCCACACCCGAGACAGGAGGGTCATTACTTGAAGTATTGGTTACACCTTGGTCATTAGGAGGATGTTGTATATTAACATAGGTTCTTAAATCATCATAGGCAGACTCTAACCTACCTTCACCAGGACCAATTTGTAATCCGCTGTACGTCAACATTTCTGAAAATAATCAATGTGGTACCCTAGTATGGCGAAATATTTATCCTTGTTGCTCATATTACTTCCTGTACACGGTTCGACTAACTTAATAACATCTGTTTAAAGTAGCCATGGTTCGGGATTGTATTAAGCTGCCCTTCAGTTGAAAGAGTAGGGGCTGTGAGGTTTTTGCACACCACGCAAACTGTCGTCCGCCCTTGTAAAATTGAAGTTAACCTAAATGAACATTTCATAGTTAACGACCACTAAGTAGATTTTCCAACAAAACCTCTACATAGTTACACTGCGTCCAATAGTTGACGTGTCCCTTAACATGCTCGTTGTATAGTAATTGTGCAAGGGCACCGCAAATCCCCAATAATGGATCCAGTTGCATTGTACGTGTTGTATTTCCGTTTAAGGTTTCTTAACATGTCCCATTACTAAAGTGAATACAACACAAGGTCAACTGAAAGTCAATACTTTATTCCACTGTTATAACTCCTTTAATTTGTAGTGTGTGGGTTGGGTGCAGATTAGAAGGTCCGGCAGTGACTCAAGTTTCGACCCCGAACTTAACAAAGAGTCAAACAGTATATATGCATGTTGTCCAGCAAATTTTAAAAGAAAAATAAAATATGATCCGAATTTGCAAAATCATATCCATAAGATGTATTACATTTTTGACGTTTAGTTTTTTTTTCCTTTTTTTTGTGTGTTTAAGATCTTCATCGCGTGAGCTGGTGGGGGTCTCAAACGTTGATACACCATGATCCTTCCAAAATACACCCATTATAAGCTCCCCTCGCTACTGGGCTACATGGCAATTAGTATCGACAGGCCTTGGTGTTTACAATAAACCTGCTATAAATAATATAGGTAAATTTTTCAGTATGATTGGTACGAGGTGTATTACATTTTTGATGAGCTGGCGGCCTCGTAAAGATGGTACATCGTCGTCCCTCCAAAAGTTTCTCTCGCTTCTAGGTCACATGTTGGTAAGAGCCAGGGTACCACATGCCAATTAGTAAAGACATGGTTTGGTGTTTACAATAAAACTGCTATAAACACGCATAGGCGCCTGTATATCGTATTTCGTCCGCCTCATTTCTTTTGCATACAGGTTTAATTTGCATAAGCCCGTATATTTTGGTAGAAGCATTTTTGGCTCGATAGTAATGGGTGGGCGGTTTTTTAAGTTAAACCCCCCAAGTGAACTAACATGGTGTTATTGGTATGATGGCTGTTTGACCACGTTGTCATCATGGTAGCACACACAACAGTGTGAGTTTGCCGTATATCATTGAATTATGACCAACCGGCATGGATACATCAAAATAATATTCTTATGTATCGATATATAAATCAGGATATGTATGAAATGAATCCCTTCTTTCAAGTGAGGAACAATATAAATATTGTTGGAAATATTTTACTAAATATTTGATGATATGATTAGGAATGTACAATTTAAATATCTTACCTTCTTGTCTTAAGATCAGAATGAACAGAACTGTTTTTATAATATCACAGATCATTGTATGTATTTACTGGACAATATCTTTCTTTATCAACTGGTTGTTATATTTATATACTGGACAATCGATCTAACCCTTGTTTATCCTTGTTGCTCATATTACTTCCTGTACACGGTTCGACTAACTTAATAACATCTGTTTAAAGTAGCCATGGTTCGGGATTGTATTAAGCTGCCCTTCAGTTGAAAGAGTAGGGGCTGTAGGGTTTTTGCACACCACGCAAACTGTCGTCCCCCCTTGTAAAATTGAAGTGAACCTAAATGAACATTTCATAGTTAACGACCACTAAGTAGATTTTCCAACAAAACCTCTACATAGTTACACTGCGTCCAATAGTTGACGTGTCCCTTAACATGCTCGTTGTATAGTAATTGTGCAAGGGCACCGCAAATCCTCAATAATGGATCCAGTTGCATTGTACGTGTTGTATTTCCGTTTAAGGTTTCTTAACATGTCCCATTACTAAAGTGAATACAACACAAGGTCAACTGAAAGTCAATACTTTATTCCACTGTTATAACTCCTTTAATTTGTAGTGTGTGGGTTGGGTGAAGATTAGAAGGTCCGGCAGTGACTCAAGTTTCGACCCCGAACTTAACAAAGAGTAGGCCCACCCGCTTAATCTACTATTATTAGCCGAGTTCTCTGATTTCCTCCTATTGCTAAAGACCCGCGTGAGTATACGTTTTGGTCAGACAATTGCCTAAGTTGTGTTGTGTCGACTTTAAACTTTATCTGCTAGTATGTATAAAACAATAAGTGAACCGCCACTAATATATTATAGTTCTTTAGTAGATCGTCAATGAAAGTAGTTAGAAACGGGCTATACTATAATACATACATGTTGACCTCGATATATCATTGTAACAGGGGAATCACGTGGCTAAGTGGGTAAGACGCTGGTTCGCTAGTTCAGTGATGCAGGATGGAGGGCCTGACAAGGACAGCTGTCTAGTCGTTCGGATGGGACGAAAAGCCGAGGTCCCGTGTATACATTGGAATGCACGTAAAAGATCCCTTGGCAGTTGGAATTCGATATTAGAGTAGGCCGTAACGCCGCTGCAAAATTTCCCTCATAGCACACTGTATGGCGTATGCTCGTCTGATCATTAGCCCAGGTTAGGAGCAGAACAGTAGGACGTTAAACCCCATTTCATTTCATTTCATTTCATCATTGTAACATCCATTGTACAGTCAG